CTGGGGCGGGAGGCGGTGGTGCTGGGGAGTATGTTCTTAATTTTTCTCCCTGTAAGTCCCATTTCAGTCAAAGTCCTTGGCCGGGATCCAGAGTGGCACATTTAATAATACCTAGTGTGTTTGGGTGTTACTTCATAATTACTTCGGTGCTGGTGAAATTGTTGCCTTGAGGATCATTCCTGAGTGTAATCGACGTGGACGGCCACATGGCCCTCACACGCCTCCTACTGGGAGGCCAGGGAAAGAAGAGACACTGGAAGGGAAGGGGAAAGGGGCGTGAAGGCTGCCCCCCCTCACCTTTGGTAGGGAGGAGACAGGGTTATCAAAGGGAAAGGCTTTAAAGTCTCAAGGACAGAGTTAAAAACGCTTGGAATTGATTTTCATCAGAAACCCAAGAGATGGGAGAGTAGATGGCATCTTGGCTGGTACCTGGGAATGTAATCAGGACTCTGACTTTTCCTTTAGCCACCAATGGACCCCACATTGTGTTACCTTAAGGTAGCCACTATCCAGGCTCACTACCTCACTTCGAAGTTGGGATCCTAGACCCAAAAGGGACACGTAATGAGACGGGCCCAAGAAAGTTTATGGTGGGTGAATGGGTCCACTAGGCACAGAGCATATGACCAGCTCCTTGTCCATAGCTGGGATATGTGCCAGCAGGGCCACCTAGGAAGCTGCCGTTCCTAAACTTGTCCCTGGGGACACATGTTCTAGCGGACTGTAGTTGATACGCCCTGCTGTTCTTCGGTAACCCAGCAACTCAGAAGCGTGTCCTCTCTCCAAGTGACGCTCATTCTAGATCTGAAGTAGGGGTATGAGGTGCCAGGACACAGCTCTAGCCCCAGGCAGCTGTCATCACCTACAGGAGACATGTCTCTATGGCCCTGGCCCAAGAGCACATGCACCCAAGACCACAGCAGAACCTGCAAGCAGGCAACTCAGAGATTCGAGGAAACGCAGCTGCCGAGACCACCCACTGACGACTCTCGGGCTCCGCTCTGAGCTGGTGACAGCAGCTTGGGCACTCATTCTTCCCCGGAAATTTCCCAACAAGTCGGGGGAAGATCATGATAGCATCAACCCAAACTTCAAGTCCAGGATGCGATTAGTTCAGGGCAAAACATGTAAGAATGACATTATCGAGAACTCTGCCCCGGTCCCTGTGTTCAGATGCCAGTCCCCAAAACAAAGCCAAACAAAGCAGAAGAAGAAAACAAAACAAGCTACTGCGAACCAGCATGGTGTGTCCTGGGACCCATTCAGGCCTTACCTCATCCCTGTCTTCCTCCTTACATCATTTAGGCTACAGTGAAAACATACCTGCAATAAGTGGCTTATAATTTTGGAGGCTGAGAAACCCAAGGTCAAAGTGTCATCAGCTCACTGTGTGGGGAGGACCCCCTTCTCATAGGTATCGTGTGCTCACAACATGTCCCTGTGGTAGACCAGTCCAGAGAGCCTTCTTGGGTTCATCTTATTTTTTTTAATTAGATATTTTTTGAGATTATAATAGAACTACATCATTTTCCTCTCACCTTTCTTTCCTTCAAGCCTTCCCATATACCCCTCTGGCTCCTGTCAAATTCATGGCCTCTTTTCCTTCATTGTTGCTACGTGTGTGTGTTTATACACACACACACACACACACACACACACACACACACACATATCTATACCTATACATATACCAGTTCATCTTTTTAGTTCCTAATCCTGCCAAATTCACTACGACAGGAATTTTTATCAGCTTTGCAGCTCACTAAATCCTGAGCATCTAGCACAGTCCCTCAAAACCCACTTGATGAATGAGTAAATTAATGTATTAGGAGCTAATTAATTAGCTGGACACAGTGGCTCCTGCCTGTAATTCCAGCAGTTAAGAAGCTGGGGCAGGAGGCTTGTCATGAGTTTCAGGCCGGACTGAACTCCAGAGTTTCTAGGCTAGCCTGAGCTACCGAGTAAGATCTTGTCTCAACAACAGCAGCAATAATTTAAATAAATCAAGTAAAGCATATCAGAAAATAAGTTCTGAAATAACGTCCAACCAAATTAGCTTAAGTTCTTGGCCAACTTGAGCCTTTGTTCTTCTCTTCTGTGTGTGATCTCCCAGCGTACGAGTTGAGAAGGCCTGCTTCCCCTCTATTCTGGGAATACACCGAAATTGGACTGTCATCTGCCTTCCCATCCCAGCCGTTTCATCTGGTTATCAGGGGACAAGTGCCCAGTGATGCCCAGCCACCCCCCCCCTTAGAGTTTTGCATTTGGAAGGATCTTAAAGACACCAGCAGGAATCTCCTTCTGCTGTTGCTACTTTGTTTTGTTTTGTTTTTCTTGATGGTCTTCTGTCTGGTCAGAGGACTGGGCCACCATTTTAGAAATGGTCAATTTCCATAATTTATGTACATGGTGGTCTCTGGTCTCCTGTGACAGGACAGCCTGATTGTCCCCATAGGATCTGAGCTTCACAAATAAAAGGTAGAGAGAATTGGATGAGTAGAGAAGAATTGGTGAGTAGAGAGTTTACCGAGCAGCAGCAAAGGTATTCTGAGAAATAGATTGCATCCATTCAAAAGCAACTCCTGCCCCACCCCTTGCTGTCTGAGATTAGCCCTCATTTTAAGGTGTGATAAAGCTCATTTCCCCTCTTTCCAGTTGAGGTTCCTTCTCATCACATCTTAAGAGGACCAGCCTGAAGAATACAATAGGGTCTGTCTGTGGAGCAGAGACTTAGAGCAAATCTTGGCGACATGGCTCTGAGCCGGATTAGATGCCAAATGTGACTTCGTTTACAGGAACTTGGGAGGCCCCTGATAAATCCAAGCCTCTCCCCTTAACTGACCTGGCTGGAATTTTTGACAACACGGATTACAAAATGGGCGCAATTAGCTGGAGATATTAATGGGATCTGTCATGTGAAATATTCGTAACAAAGCTTTTCCTTGAATTCCAAGCTGAGAGTTTTGACTCCTGGAGCCAAAGAAACCTTTGTTCTGGGGATTACATCATAGGGCTATTTTTAGAGGCCAAGTCTGCTCTAGGGGACTGAGGTTACTGCCTTTCCCCTTCTGACTCCTAACTCCAGAGCCTTTGTGCCCCTGGTCCACTGCTCTTCTTCCCAGAGATGCGTACATGGCCAGCATGACCAGAGAGGAAGTGAAGGCCTCACGAAGGCCACCTGGGGTATAGGTGCCATCTCTGGGTGGTTCCAGGGGGCTGAGATCAGGGACTGTCTATCACAAGACAATAACCCAAGTAGAAAATATTTTACAGTGTCTGAAACCCGCAGCCTGGAGTTGGGAGAAATGGGGGAGGCTTTGCCGTCTCCTGTCAGGCTGAGACAGGATGTACCTTGTTTGGCATTAAAGGAGAACAAAACCCAGCTACACGAACTTTTCCTTGCACCTGCATGGGCACCTTCGATCTCTGTTTACAAGATGGCTTCCTACAGCGGCAAGACTTGGTTGGAGAGGCCAGGCCTACAAACAGAACACCTCCTCTTCTCAGCCGTGTGTGAACAGTCCTGGTCTTGCTTGTCCACTTTGTGCCTTCATTCAGTGGGGTCCTCTATCCACCAGAGCAGGCCTGAGCACGGTGGTGCCGAGGAAATCAATAGCCAGACAGCTTAAGTCACTTTCCCAAGCTGTTGAAACGGCTAGCAGACTTTTTCCCAGCTTTGACTGCAGTGTGTTCTTTCCAGTAAGCGCAAGCAGGCTGGCCCAGCTGGAGGAGAGGAATTCTAGGAAAAGCCTGTCTAGAGGAAGAAGATCCCAGCCTTGGCCTAGCTTGACCTACCTTAGGGACCAGCACAGTTGGGCCACATCCTTCAGCAACCCAGATATCTTCCCTCTTGTGGGACATGGTTACTATTCCCATGTTCTCCCTATGTCTTGGGTGGGGGACGATGCTTCTGTGGTGACATGAAGCCCCAGGGGGCATACAGATTTACTGGTACAGGACTGCCCAAGCACATGCTGCACCATGTGTGAATTAGCCAACAGCACCTCCTTCAGGCAAACAGTGCCATGGGCACATCTCACAACTAGAGGGAGGAGCCCTGGGCATACTCCACTGCTCAGGCGCTATAGTATGGAGACCATAAGAGGATGAAGCACGGATCCCACCATTCTGTAGAGAGCCAGAGAAATCGCCCATGGGAAGAGGGGAAAGGGTTCTTCCCCATAACCAGCCTGAATGAGGGACCCGTTCTCTCTGTCCTCTAAGTTTTCCCAGAGAAGGAACAGTATCTGCTACATCCTTTCAAAGACAGCTAGGCTCTGCTCAGGAGAGCTAGGGTTCCCCTACCCTAGGAAGAAACAAGAGTAGGGTCACCAGGAGACGAACTCTATGCCCCAAAGCAGAGGGTTTTTATTGGTGTAAGTGGGTGCCTTGAAAATGGAGGGATGGACGGGGCTTGAGCTCCTTGGGAGTTGGGCCTGCATTTTATCTGCCTCTGTGGATGGAGCATGGGCAGGCCTATAGGGTACATAAGCAACACTGTCTTCCCCTTTGGAGCAGCAGAGGCTCGACACTGATCACCATCCCATTGCCGACCACAAGAGGCGATGAAGACACGAGGCTGTTCCCCACATTTTCTTATTGTATAAATTCCTGATATTTTTTTTTAATGTCTCCAAAGAACAGAAACTGATGTAGGGGCTGAGCCAAGCTTAAATTCACTGGAAAAATAAAGAGAAAGTTGGCTTTTTGTGCCAAAGATTTGTGAAATAAATTCATACTGTTGATAAGCACCAAGAAGAGCTTCAAGTTCACATTCATCCGCTACCCCTCCCCCAGCCCCTGACCTTCCTGACCCGGATCCCTACACAGGACAGTGTCTGACCTCATCCATAGTTCTTCAAAACGCAGCATGAGATCGTCCCTTTGGAAGATACTTTTTACTGCAGCCAATTAAGGAAAAAAATGGAATCCGATTTTACTTATAAAATGCTTGTAGTGGATGCAGGAGAACTGACAGAGGTTTTATTGTTTTTCTTTAGGTCTGGCGTGACCCCTGGGAAAGCTGGTCATCCCTGATTACACAGGATGGTTCGGGACACAGCTGGTAACTCCTAACTACCCAGGACAGGCTGGGACATAGCTGGTATTCTCTGACTACCCAGGACGGTCTGGGGGCATAGCTGGTAATACCTAACTACCCAGGACGGTCTGGGACATGACTGGTAATCCCTGACTACCCACGACAGTCTGGGGCATATCTGGTAATACCTGACTATCCAGGGCTGTCCGGGGCATAGCTGGTATTCTCTGACTACCCAGGTGGTCCGGGGCATAGCTGGTATTCTCTGACTACCCAGGACAGTCTGGGGACATAGCTGGTAATTCCTGAGTACTCGGGACAATCTGGAGCATAGTTGATGCCTCCTAACTATCCAGTACAGTTTGGGGCACAACTGGTATTCCCTAACTACCTAGGACAGTTTGGGCATAGCTGATATTCCCTGACTGCCCAGCATAGTCTGGGGCACAGCTGGTACACCATAACTCCCCAGGATGATCTGGCCATAGGTTTCTGAGTTACCAGGGATGCTAGAATACTCGGAGAGCTGAACTTGATGTACTCTTGACAGTCTGGGAAGTCAGTGCCTAGGAGACAGCCTCACTGAGAGAAAAGGCATATGCTCGCCTTGTCCTCCTGCCCTCATCCACAGTCCCTGATGTCTACAGCAAGCTTCCTGGCTCCCCTAGTCCCCTGTCTCGGCCGAGGAAGGGGAGAGAGTTCAATAGGAGGCTAAAATGTGGCATTGATTCCCATCTGACCTTGGAGGCCATCTTAAATGGATGACATTGGAAAGGAGGAGATTATTCTCCCTGCAGAGGTCAAGGCTGCATTTGATCTGAATTATTACTGTCCTGACCCCGTCCTTCCCTTGCAAAACCTGGAACTGATTCTGTGGGTGGCTTTTTAAAAATTTAAAGTGGTCAGAAATGTTTCCAGTTCTGTGTTCTCTTGTGGATTGTTGCAAACATGTGTTGGGGGCTGAGCAAAAACTCCAACCAGGGTAGCAGCAGGCTTAGTCTAATCTAACCTTTGTTCTTGCTTTGTCTGAGACTGAGGCAAAACAAAAACAACAAGAATAAAAAAAAAATCAAAAAACAAAATCAAAAAACCAGAAGAGTCTCTTCTAGTTTCTTGTATTTTAATACCCATTTCTCTTTTTCTTGTCTCAATTGGAAATGGCCTGGAGCGAACTTCTTAGGGCCAATGGGTGTATCGTTGGCTTCTGTGAAGTCGGGCAAGGCTTCCTGGGCCTCCTTGGTCCTCTCTCCCCAAAAGCAGCATTCCAAAGCTGTGTGCACATAGGCTGTGATTCCTGACCTTGGTACCCCAGGACTGTCTGTGTCCTCTGAGGTATTCTGGAAGCCGCTGTCTACTCACCAGGCCTTCTCCTTTCTCTGTTCCACAGGGACTGCGGCTCTTCTCATCCAGCCTGGGTGATGGGATCCATTCTCTGTCCAATAGCCAGAGGACACTGTGGAGGACCTATTGTGTTCCCAAGACATTAAGTCAACTGCTGGCTGTGCCCTTTCCCTGCCACCATCATTTGTGGGTTCTGGAAATTTCTTCGCCATGGCCCCAGGATCTTCAGCTTCAGCCAAAATGCTGATCTTTTTTTTTAAAGTTTACTTCTTGGCTACATCCCTCTCAACCCCAGCTCTGCACATTTTGTTCCCTCTCCTCTTTCATCCAGGCAAGCCTCCTCTTCTCTGGACAGGGAGTGTCCTCATGAACAACAGAATCCCAGAAAAAAAAAATAAAGAGAAAGTGGCTGAAGAGTCAAGGGGAGCGAAGGCAGAACGGTTGTCTGGAGCGTTATTGGTTCTGGGCCTCCAGTGCTTGCCAAGTGAGGCAGAGCAGTTCACAGAGCTCTGAGATTAGTGAGAGAAACACCTGGCAAAAGCTGGGGTAAGCAGAACTCAGCACAGCGAAGTATTGAAGTATTGAAAATTCCATTCCAGGTACAGAGGGAAGCGTGTGGTAACGGTTATTCTACCAAACATCAGACATGGTTTGCGTTGGTTTGCCTTCGTTGCTTTTACCTTTGCAAGGACAAGAAAAATGATGCAGGGAGCTGATGGCTTGTCCTTGGTTCTGTCCACTAGGCTAAGCTCTGCGTGCTCCAAAAACCTTGGGAGAGAGTAAGAAAGATATGTTGGGCATTGCAAGATAAAGACCAGAGTTATTAGGAAAGAAGAACAACACATGCCTAGGAGATTCAGCAACCCCTGAAAGGCAGCATCTCCAGAAGGAGTACCTGCCTGCGCGGCCCACTTGCAAGCTCAGGTTTGGAGATGGATTCGATGAGACACAGCAGGAACAGGCCAACCCTCTGAAGGGTGTCAGAGAAACAGGATAACAGTCAGCTGTGGATTGTGAAATGTGCAAAACAACAAAACGCACCAGTTGGAATAAAGGAATGGCAAGAAGTGGGAGCCAGCACTTAGGAAAGATTGTGTAACGGATGAGGAAACTAGCCACCGCCTAAACCACAAGGACTTCTGGGATCATCTTGTCGGTAATTAGAATGTCACCACTTTTGTCTTCTCTTTTCTTGTTTACTATCAGCATTCTCTTGCCCCATGCCCCGCCGCAGCTGGATATATGGCTATCCAATTATAAGCTGGATTTCTCAACTTCATTTTATTATTACTTTTGCAGTTCAATGACAACATGGCTATGTTTCGGGCCCTTGGGGCATGAGCAAATAAGGTATACCATTCTAGGTAATATTGTAGCTCTCTTTAAGGGGAAAAATGTTGGCTCTCCTCTGTCCATGTCTGTGACTGGGATCTAGAAGTGGGAGCTACATGGTGACACTTAGTCTTGCTACTGTGGTTTTTCTGAGTGGAGCTGACCTATAACCCCAAACTCCTTGCCCTTAGATCTTATGACAAAGTCATGAGCTTGTAATGATTTAAGCAGTTGTGCTTTGGGGTGCCCTTGTTACAACTTCTCTTCTAATAAACCATCATAAGCATTAAGGTTTGCATTTTGCAGAATAAACACAGAAAGTTTAGATGTGTTACAAAGGTCAAGATGTTGCCTGGAGCCTGGGTGTGCTGTTGGCACTAAGGGACATCTTTCTATCCTGCCATCTGACTCCACTGCACACCTAGTCAAGCTCCAATTAGCTCATCTTTCCCACTACTGAAAAAAAAAATCTACACTGGGAATAACGGGAAGTGGAGTCAAAGGTCGGAAAATACTAATTTCATTTTGGATGGATTTTGGTATCTGAGTTGTTACATATTTGGTCTGAAGCTCAAGTAAATCAGGATTCCAGGGTACAAAGAAATTGACCTTTTCTCACGACAACAGCTTCTGAGAGATCCTTTCTTCTACAGAGCACGAGCAAAATTTTAATAAGATCAGGATGATGAGATAATCTGTAAGGTTGAGTGTGCTACTCAGTGGCTCGGGGTCAACCACACCCCAGAGGACACGAATTCTTTTAGCCTCTGTCTCTGTCTCTCCCTCTTTCTCTCTCATCATGGATTGGATAACTTTCCTTTGCATTGCAGCCAGGTGTATAGTTTTGCTGGGTATAGAAGTCACGGCTGGCATATGAGTTCTTTTAACTCTTCTGGCTTTGAGAAGTCAGCTATTATTCTGCTTGGCCTGCTTTGATATGTGACTTGTGGATTTTCTCTTGCAGTTTTCAATACAGTTTCTTTGTTCTGTATATTTAGTGTGTTAAGTATAATATGCCATGAGGAGCTTCTTTTCCGGCCCTGTCTACTTGGTGTCTTGTGGACCTCTGTGTATGGATATGCCTTTCCTCAATTTGGGGGAGTTTTCTTCTATTTTTCTATTGAAGTCCTGCTTTAACCTTTGCCTGGAATTCTTTGTTCAATGTCTATAGCTCATAGATTTTATCTTCCATGGTTCTCAGGGTTCCTGGGTATTCTTTTCATGTATTTGCTTACATTTACCATTTCTTCGATTGGCCCAGTTCCTCTGCTTTGTCTTCCAGTCCTGATATCCTGTCTTGTATTTGATTCATTCTGCTAGTATGGTTTTCCACTGTGCTCCCACTGGGTTATTACATTTTTCATTTCCACTTTCATTCCTGCTTGCATTTTCTCCAGTATATTTTATTATCTCTTTATTGAACTCACTTTTCAAGTCCTGAACTGTCTCATTATTTCATTCAACTGTTTGTGTTTTCCTGGACTTCAATCAGGGATTTATTCCTGGGTACCAGGGTGTTACTGGGGTCTTGGTGGTGGTATATGTGATTGCCTGGGTGAGGTCTGACTAGGGGGGCATGTGGTGTAAAAACCTCAAAGGATTTAAGGCCCAGTGCTTAGACAAGGTTCTCTGGCTGGTGGAAGAGGTTAGGAAGAATGCCCAGTGGAGATTACCAAAGAGTCATACTGTTGGATGTTGGCTCGTAGGTCCCAGGAAGAGCAGCTCAGCATGGAAGGCTGAAAGGGCTCATTTAGAAAGCCTGCAAGCACAGCTCCTTGCTGGCCCTGGGCAGGATAAGGACAACATGAGGTGAGCAACTGAGCAGAGTTACCAAGAAAGCCCCAAAGTAGGGCTTCTGACCGGGCCTTGTGGGAGAAGGTGACCGCTGTCTGGATATTGAGTTTACCTGGGTATCAGAACATCATCATCTGCTCTCTTAATTCTCCACCTTGCCAAGTGAAGATTTCTATATCACATGAGTTAATTCCTTATAATAAAATTGCTATCATTCTTTTTGCATAAATCTTAATGGTTCTGTTTTTCTGGAGAACCCTGAGTAATGCAATGGCTTCCTAAGTTTGAGGTGATTCAGAGTTTAGAATGTATAAAATGCGTGAGATGAATGCTAGATTGGTCATAGCCTTAGTGAGAGGGAGGGTGGATTAAGTCACAAGTCTGTCTCTCTGGAACTCTTTTTCCTGCTGTTGGGGAATGTGACAACAGGGGTACCCGCCACTGGCAGGGAGTAAAGGCTACTGGGAGGCTATGCCGGTAGCTTCCATGCCCCATATTTTCTGTGGTTGTGCAAAATACAAGGCTTAACACGTAAGAAAGTTCTGGAAGACAGGGAAGCCTTGACGATCCAAAGGAAACAGCACAAAGAGTAGGTTCCAGTGTTGGGATGCAGGAGTGGACCAAGGACAGACTTTGGGGAAAGGTGTCGTTCCCCAAGGCATGTGGAAATGCAACTTCTGTCTCTGGGTTAGTCACCAAACAACCTTATAGAGAAAGCAAGAAACAAAATTTGTGCTGAAAAGAGGTTGGGGGCGGGGGGGGGGGGAGCTACAGAAAGGAAATAAATATTTCCACAACAACTGAATTGCAAAGCAAGGCTAAGAACACAAAAGAACAACATGTAACACACACCTTTCTATACTAACTTTACATATCAGTGCCTTTGACATCTTAATTAAAAGGCACAGGGTAATTGTATGGATTAAGAAAAACGATGAATCGGCTTTTTGGCTAGAAGAAATAACAGCTTAACTTCAAGGATAGGCATCCTTAGAGCAAACGGATGGGAAAAAGAGGCTAAGTAAATGGTATCAGGGAACAATTAGGTGGGGGTTGTTCTAGTATCTGACAAACTAGACTTCAGACCAAAATTAATCAGAAGAGATAAAAAATGATACTTCGTTGTGATTAAGGGAACAGTCAACCTAAAAGAGACCACAGTCTTAAAACATCTATGCACCAAATGCAGGCATACCCAATATCATAAAAATCATACCAAGGACTTTAAACGATAGATTTATTCCAACATAACAATATTAAGTTATTTTAACACCCCCTTTCCAATGGAAAGGTCATCCTGACCCAAAACAAATGGAAACACTGCGATTAACTGACATGCTAGAAAAACGGACCTAACAGACACATACAGAACAGTCTACCTGAACACCACAGCATACACACTCTTTACGGCAGAACATGGCAGTTTCTCTAAAATTGACCACATATTGGGTCCCAAATAAATCTCAAAGGTGAAATTACTGCATGCATCCTATATGACCACAATGCAACAAAGCTAAAAAAAAATTAACAACAAAATAATCATTGATTAAACAAACTTGTGGAGATTAAAGGACCCACCACTGATTGATGTGTGTGTCAAAGAAATCAAGAAGGAAATTTAAAAATTCCTAGAACTAAATGAAAATGAAAACAGAACATACCAAAGCCTATGGGACACAATGAAACTGTCCCAAGAAATTATGGCCCTGCATGCATCCACTGGAAAATTCAGAAAAGGGGCAAATAAATAGCTTGAAGATGCGCTCAAGAGTCTGTAAAAGCCATAACAAAGCAAACCCCAAGTCAGCAGAAAGAAAGAGGCAATAAAAAGTGGGACAGAAATTAATGAAATAGAAACAGACAAACAAAAATACAAATAATTAAACTAAGGACAGACTTCTTGGGAAGATGAATAAGACTGACAAACTTTTAACTAAATTAACCAAGTGAAAGAAAGAAGACTCAAATTAATAAAATTAGAGATGGACAGGAAAACATTACAACAGGGAAGAAATGTTTTCAGGAATCATAAGGGAATATTAAAAATAAAAACCTGTACTCCATTAAGCAGGAAAACCCAAAAGAAGTGGAAGGATTTCTAGATCTATCCAAACCACCAAAGTTAGACCAAGAAGAGACCAACAACATAAACAAACTCATAACAAATAAAGAGAAGGGAACAGTAATAAAAATTTTCCAAATAAAAAAATCCCAGATTTAGATGGATTCACAGAAGAATTCTACATGACTTTCAAAGAACTACAGCCATTGCTTCTCATGTTATTTCAAAAGGAATGGAAGGAAGGAGGGAAGGAAGGAAGGAAGGAAGGAAGGAAGGAAGGAAGGAAGAAAGGAAGGAAGGAAGGACGAAGGAAAAGGAGCATTTCCGAGAACAATTTTACTCTAATACCTAAGCCAAGTAAGGTAAAGACACAACAAAAAAGGACTATAGATTAAATCTCTGACGAAAATAAACGCGAGAATTCTCAACACAACGCTTGCAAACCAAATATAGGAACACAAATATAGGATCACCCATCGTGACCAAGTTGGCTTTAATTCTGGAGAGGCAGGGATGGTTAAAAGTATGCAAGTCAATATATGCAATAAATTATATAAATAGAAGACATAGTCTCAATCAATGTAGAAAAGACCTTTGACAAAATCCATCATGTCTTCTTGATAAAAGTACTAGAGATAGTAAGACTGGAGGAAACAAAGCCGTCACTATTGCTACGAAGAAACACCATGACCTTCTAGAGTGACGGGAATACCGTGTCCTTTGCGCAGATGCCGAGGAGTGGCACAGATGGGCCACCTGGTAGCTTTAGTTTTCTTTGAGAATTCCCCACACTGATTTTCAGAGTGGCTGCACCAATTTGTGTTCCCACCAACAGCAAATGAGGGTCCTCCTTTCTCCACGACCCCGACAGCACTCATTGTATTGTTGACTTGAGCCTTTCTGACTGGGGTACTATGAAATCTCAATTGTTTTAACTTGAATTGCTCTAATTTCTAAGGATGATGAGCCCCTTTCCAGGTGTTTCTTAGCCGTTCTGACTTCATCTCCTGAGAATGCTTTCTATCACCAGCCCATTTTTTTTTTAGTCTCCCTCCTGTGATTACCGTGGCTAGCTTCATCTGCTCTCTTAATTGGCTTTCAGGAAGTAAACCTTTATCAGGTGTTGGTAAACTGTGACACCTCTTTAAGTGATGAAAACAGCTACCAGCCAGGAGGAAACAACAACCCTGTTTCTACTGCTGGCTGCAAGGAGATGGATTTTGCCGCCACTCTACAGGAAAAGTTCTTTACCACAGTGGAGCCATCTGATAAGGGCACAGTCCTGTCAACATTTGACTGTGGCTTTGGGAGATTGTGAGCCAAAGATCCAGCTGAGCTGTGCCAGAAACCTCAGGACAGTAAATAGATGTTGTTTTAAAGTCAAGGCATTTGCAGCTTATCTTGCAGTGTAGAAAGCTACACAGGCATAGATTTTACAGTTTATAATAGAAAATGGAGTTCCACGGACGCACGCTGTGGTGGATAACATTCTTTTTCTTGTTGTCTCTTTCCTTCTTCTAGGCATTCACCACGTGACTTCATAGTTTCTCTTGCAAGAGGCGTGGGTTGCATTTTCCCATCTTTGATTTAGCTTGAGGGCAGTGGGACGGGACGGCCATTGCAGAGAGCCTATTAACAGCCTAGACAGAATGTCTCTGCCTTCTTCTGCCTCTCTATCACCACGAGGATGGGCCGTGGTGAGTTGTTCTGACATGGACAGGAGCTGTAAGGCAGAGGATGGCTTTGATGACCCATAGACCCCAGCTGGAGCCAGAGCCACGAGCACAGCGCGGTAGCTGGAAGGAGGGTTGCACCAGCTGAGCCTGGGCAGGACCAGACATGCTGATCCATCTCCAGTACAGAATATACTTATGTTTCAAGTTTTAAGGCTGTTTATTGGCAACATTTTTTTGTTGCGTTGGTTATAATTATGTAAATAATAACCAAATTACAAATGTCATTTTTTCCATGAAGGAGAAATATGAATATAATAATGAAATAAGCTGACTTTATCTAGGCACGAAGAAAAGGTTTTTCTAAAAATTTGAGGGCCAGTGGATAAAGACACCTGCTACCAAGTTTGACAACCTGAGTTAGGTTCTTAGAACCCATATGGTAGGAGAAAACGGATTCTTACAAGATTTCCTCTGACTTCTACATGAGCGCTGAGGCATGTATATATATAAATATATATATTTACATACAAGTGTATCCTCCCTCCCCTCCACACATGATAAAATGAAAATAATGTTTTAGGGGCTTAAGAGATGACAATTCTGTGGTTAAGAACACTTGTTACTGCTCTAGAAGACACAAGTTTTATTCTTTGCACACCCCGGGCAATGACCAATTCTTGGATATTTAGCACACTTTTCTGGTCCTTGTGGGCACCAGATACACATGTAGTACACATGCATGCTTGTAGGCAAACACATGTACACGTAAAAATAAATCTAGGAAAAGCAAAAGAACAAGCTAACACTTAAGCTGAGATCCCAAATCTTCACAGGAATCAAATGGTAGGCGCTAACTCACTGAGCCATGTTAGAACGAGAACACATCTGGCTGCTGTAGAGAGCAGGACTGATATGATGAATAAATTAAAGGAACAATCGTTAGATTGGCTTACAGCCATCAGAGCGGTGGGCCCAACAGTGGCCGTCTTCACACCAGAGAGGCTTCGAGTATGGGAGCTTCTCAATCCATGAGACTGAATGCCTCAGCAGTCCCAACTGAAGTCCAGAAGATGACTGGAGAGTCGTGGCTCGTCTTCTGTCCACATTGGGTGGCCAACAGAGCTACTTTTGACATCAGCAAAAAATGCAGCAGCAGCAACAGAGTAGGTGAACTCACCATCAAGATATAAAGGCAAAGAGGCAAAAACCAAAGCTTTCAAGGTAAGGTGATGCCCATATTTAGGGTAGGTTGTCCCATGTCAAATAGCTACATAAAGAAAATCCTTCATAAGTGGGCCCAGTAACTTGCTTTTTAGTTGATTTCAGATCTGGTCAAGTTGACAACCAAGATTAGCCACCACAGAAAAAAAGACTATGTCATGCAGAGGAGAAAGCAACACTAGGTCCCTGGGTAAGAAAAAGTGCTTAGCACATTTGAAAATTTACAGAGAGGCCAATGTGACTGAAGAAAGAAAAGGGAGAATAATATCAAGATGAACAGTCAGTTAAGAGATACTATAAAGTACCTGGAAGCATACTAAGCATGTTCTTCACTTATATGGTTGCAATGGGGCTTCTGTAAGTGGTTTTCAATTAGTGAATGACACGGGAGAAACTTCATTATAGAAACAGCACGGGTCATGGTGAAAAAAAATGGACATTGTGGTGGCTTGAAGGAGAATGGCCCCCATGAGTTCATGTATTTGAACACTTGGTCCCCAGTTGGTAGAACTGTTTGAGAAGGATTAAGAGGTGTGGCCAATCTCATTGGAGGACTGTGTCACTGTTTGTGGGTTTTGAGGTTTCAAAAATTCATGCCAGACTCAGTCTCTGCCTCTGCCTCTCTCTCTGTCTCTCTCTGTGTCTCTGTCTCTTTCTCTCTCTGCCTCCTGCCTGTAGACCAGGATGTAATTCCTTAACTATTGCTTTTCCACCATGCTTGCCTGCATACTTGCTACCATGCTTCCTGCCATGATGATCATATACTAACCCTATGAAACTGTAAGCCAGCTTCCAATTAAATGCTTTCCTTTGTAAGTTGCCTTGCTCATGGTATCTCTTCATAGCAACAGAGCAGTAACTAAGACAGACAAACTGGGTAAGATTGATGTTGGAAAACAAGACACACGTGGTCTTTTGTCAGTTCTGGGAGGAGACAAGAGTGGCTCAGATGAAAGCCTGCAGGTGGAGTGTAGATGCAAATAAGAGAGTCCGTGAGATCCCGGAATAGAGAATAACAAGTATTTATTTGGGGAAAAACTCAGAATAAGGGTAGAGAGTCGCGGTCCTCTGTGAGTGCTGGAAACTGTGAACAGAACTCTGACCACCACTGAAGAGAGTTAGCACGTCTGCTTTATCAGTCCACAAGTAGTGCCTCAGACCACGCCCTAATGGGCAGGTACCCAAAACACTGTTGGCTGAATGAATTCCCACTCAGTGAAAATGGATGGAGATGGTGGATTGGGATGCAAGCATGTAGCCAATGAGCTGAAGTTGGGAAAGGCATAGTGTCAGCATCGTCAGTCTCGTGGGCTTCTGGTGTGATTCACAGAGTAGTTGATGTTCTGGTTGTGAGGATGAGGAAAGCTGGAGGGAGAGCATCCCTGGGGTACAGTCCTGGGTTTGGTGTTTAGCATCTATGGTCAGATGATGTTTTCTGGATTTTAGGTTCTCCTCTGGAAGTGAGAATGATTCACTTGCCTTGTGGTAGCTGTCACATGAGATAGGAATTCTGCACACCAGACTCAGAGTTCAAGACAAGATCTTGTGGTAGAGACACCAAAGAGAGTCGGGAGCTGAAGGTATAAGTGGACAAGCTACCCTTGAACCGCATCCATATGGTTCTATGAGGGCAAATCCACACAGAGACGGGGTTAAACCCAGAGACCTCAGGGAGTCATTCCTTTGTGACCAGCACAGACTGGGCCACGGTGGCCTTGTCGATTGTAATAGATTCAGACTGGGAGCCGAGAACGGTTCCTCCTCCTCATGACCCCATAAGGACAAACTGTCTCTGTTTTTGAGCCAGAAACATCTTCTCTGCACCATGGAAATCCCTGGGGCTGGGCCCTGCTGGGGAAAATCTGGAGCTGGGTAGCCACAGAGTGGAAGGGCCTACGACGTCCTTCTATCCATGCAGTTCCAACCTGCTTGAAGTACAACAGTCTGCACTGCGGCTGTGCTCTGCAGACCACAGGGCTTGAGTAAGGCCAGCCGGCACCGAGTTTTCATTTGAAAACATTCGTGAAGCTTCTCATGCGGTATTGTATGGAATGCATTAGGGATGTGAGAGTGGGTGGCAGGCACTCACTGAGAAAGCTGACCTCTGCCTTAGAAGAGGGTCTAGATATACCATCGCTCCAGAAGCCTCCCAGATGTGACCCAATCCTCAGTGTTCTTCCTTCCAATCACACAGATTCCAGGTGCTCTCCCATGACCAACTACTTGGATCCTGTCTCCATTCAACTTGCAAGTCCCTACCGTTGTCCAGGATATTGATTGGTATTTCAGCTTAAATAAGTAAGAAACATGAGGTTGTGAGTTACTCAGGCTGAATTAGAATCATTTCCTCCATGTGCCCAGTGGGGCCTTGATAGCATCCCAGAGTCTCCTTCCCAGTATCTGCGAGGACAAAATGCTTATATCATCAAGTCATCATGGAGAGGCCACCATAGAGAAGTAACCATGGTGAAACCATTATAGAGAAGCCACCATGGAGAAGCCACCTTGGAGAAGCCATCACAGAGAAAATCACCATGGAGAAGCCATCATAGAGAAGCCTACCATAGAGACAGCCGCCATGGAGAAGCCACCAGGAGAAGCCATCCTAGAGCTATCCATACAAGCACTGCACTCACACCCCTTGCAGAGTGACTTGTCTTGGGCTGTTAGTGTAAGAGTGATCCTGCATCTCTGAGGATCTGTCTGAAGAAGAGGGACCAAGGCTTTAGCCTAGAAAAGTCCAGGAGCACACTGTTTTGCAATAGGCAGAGATATTATAAGCAGCCCTTAAAGGGCCAGAGCACCTTCAACAGATTTGAGAAAGGGTGAGTGATCCCAGAAGAGCAGGGACAGTGAGCAAGGAAGGGTAAGAGAGGAGAGCATCTAAAGCAGCTCTTCTCAACCTGTGAGTCACGACCCCTTTGGGAGCCGAACAATCCTTGCACAGGGGTTGCCTTAGTCCGTTCAAAACACAGATAACTTACATTATGATTCATATCAGCAGCAAAATTACAGTTATAAAGTAGAAATGAAAATAATTTTATGGCTGGGGGGGTCACCACAGCATGAGGAACTGTATTAAAGGGTCACTGCATTAAGGTCGAGAACCAGCGAGTTAAAGGACAAAGGCACACTGGGCATTTTTTGAGCTCAGACTGCATTATGAGAAAAAAGAATTCAAGCCGTGAAATATTAGTCATAAAATCAATAGCAGTACAAAAGAAGCAAGTAGCTACAAAGCGTGAGTCAAACACATCACAGAACCCGGGACATGACAGTTTTAGTGTCGATCTTGATTCTTTCTCATTGACAATATTTTAAGCACTGCAAGCCTCTTCGACCATTGCTTCCTGGTTTCTGTGGAGTGCCTACGGAGACTGTTGTGCCCTCAGACATGCCAGAGTGTGTGACGGATGGGTCATAGAAGGCTAGCAGCATGTACAGAAACAACCTATGGTAGAGGAGCTTCCAGACTGTCTTAGACATCAGAACCAAGTGGTGTTTCTTTACAAACATTGTAAGCGTGAGAGCCTTGGACAAAGAGCAGTCTACAGGCTGAACCTTGGTGGGAAGAACGTAAGCGTTGGTTCAGGATGCACTAGACTTCAAAGAACGAGCAAGGTCAGGAGCAGACAGGAGCTGGACGTGCAACCTGGATCTGTTAGCTTGTACATGTTTGGGAAGGCTCTCTACTGGTTATAGAAACATCTTGTCCTCTGCACACCTTACTAGAGTCCGTCTGAAGGACTACAGCAAATTCACCAGAGGCAGTGACAGCTCAGGATGATGGACAAGCTGTACCTGGCCCGGATCAGCTTCGTTTTCTTCTTGTGGTCCACATCCATGGGAGGGTAAGAATTTTTCTAACTGTTGCTGCCTGGTCCTGCGGCATTTCTGTAGCCTTGGGCTTTACTCTGTGGAAGGGTCAGGTAATCTGGGTCCACATAAGAACCGGTTGAAGCTCATATGTAGGTGTTTGCTCATTTTATTTTCTTCTACTTTCTTGAGAGAAGGGCTGTCGTGCCCCTTCTATAGGGTAGGAGGCTAAGGCTCTGGGCAAACATCAGCACAACCACAATCACAAGAGTGGAGGGTAGCGATGCCAGGATCTAAATATAAGCCTGTGAGCTCCAGTGCCTATCTGCATCCTGTGCAACCGCAGCCTTGACCCACTTTCTCGAGCGAAAAGTGTCAGCATCCTGGTCCTCTTACAGCTCCAGTATGCAACCACGTTGCTCAAAATGACCTTTATCAGTATGATCCAAGAGAAATACAATACAAAACTTTAAATGTTATTTTAAACTCTCTAGTTGTATGCTAATAAAATTAAGTAGGTTTAAAAAGAAGGAAGGAAGGAAGGAATCATAGGACCATGCTGAGAAGGAAACCCTAAACAGAACAGATTTGAGACACTTATTCCAGACAGACCTTGTGATGACAAGGGCGGAGTTCTAATGGATTGTGATGGGAGAAGAGACAGGCTTTGGTTTCTGTATTGGAGAGTTTCATGCCAATTTGATACAAGCTAGAGTCACCGAGAGGAGGAAACCTCAAATAAGAAAATGCCTCTATAAGTAGGCTGTGGCCAAGCCTGTAGGTCATTTGCTTAATTGGTGATTGATGGGGTAGGGCCCAGCCCATTGTGGGTGGGGTTATATCTGGGCTGCTGGTCCTGGGTTCTATAAGAAAGCAGGCCGAGCAAGTCATGGGGAGCAAGTCAGGAAGCAGCACTCTTCTATGGCCCCTGTATCAGCTCCTGCCGCCAGGTTCCTGTCCTGCTTGAGTTCCTGCCCTCACTGCTTTTGATGATGAAATGTGATATAGAAGTGTAAGATGAATAAACCCTTTCCTGTCCACGTTGCTTTTGGTCTGCTGTTTCATCACAGCAATGGTAGCCCTAGCTAAGACAAGTGGGTACCAGGAGAGAGTAGTGTTGCCGTGGCAGACCTGACCATGTTGTTTTAGGAGGATTGTGGAAGGACCTTGGAACTTTGGGTGAGAAAAGCCACTGAATGTTCAATGCTTGACGAGCTGATCTGTAGAAGCTTGGACGATAAAAATTTTGAGCTGTTTTGTGTCTATTTTAGAGGGGAGGAACGACTTTACTGGACCATTTATGTGACGAACCTGTGGTGTCTGGTCAGCCAGAAACGAAGAATTGGCTGTTATTAAGAGACCAGCATCACTAAGGCGAAGTCTTCTTGGAAGTGTTTCCTCAGGGTCAGCACACAGAAGCTGTGTCCCCAAAGCATCCAAGGCTGTACCTGGCATTAGCGGGTGAATTTGGTGCTATAAGAGTCACTCAGGTGGTACTGGTTTTGAAGGCATGAGGAGTCATGGAGAACAACTGGGGCTTGGCACTGTGCCCAGAAGAGAGCCCAGGAGAGGCTACTGGTAAAAGGACAGCCCACTTGTAGCAAGAGACCCCAGAATTTTGGAGATGGCAGTACCATGGAATGACCACCAAGAACAGCAGCAGGGATGGAATGGAGCCTAGAAGAAGCCTCTGTGTGTGCTGCAGAGGGCGGAGCTGGAGAAATAACCCAAGCCCCTTAGAGGAGCCCAGAAGATGGTGAATATATCTCAGATAATCGGACATTGATTTATTTGTGCTGTTGGACTTCGCTTTTTGCTTTAATCTGTTTGTGACTGTACCCTGGATTTCCCACTTGAAGTAAGAATTTAACTTAACTTTTATTTGTGCAGAAACCCACAGTTGAGAGATTTTGAACTTTTTAAAGAGATTTTGGATTTTGAAAGAGACCGGATTGTTTGAAAGCACTGAACTTTTAATGTGTTTGAATTTGTAAAGGCTGTGGGACTTTTAAAGTTATTTATGTTTTTAATGTAAGACCTTGGGGGATGAGTGAGAAAGCAAAGGTTGTGGTTTAACAGTGATGTGCTTTAATGTCAAGTTGACAAGGGGTCAGTTGTGCTGGATAATTTTATGTCAACTTGACATCTGAGAGGCAGGAACCTCCATCAAGAAACTGCTTCCATAAGATTTGACTGTAGACAAGCCTGTAGGGTGTTTTCTTAATTAATTATTGATGGGGGAGGGCCCAACCCATAGTTGGTGGTGCCACCCTGGCCTGCTTGTCCTGGGTTCTATAAGAAAGCAGGCTGAGCAAGTCCATGAGGAGCAAGTCAGTAAGCAGCACCCCCTCCATGGCCTCTGCACCAGCTCCTGCCACCAGGTTCCTGCCCTGCTTGAGTTCCTGTCCTTTTCATGATGATCTGCTATAAGACAATGTGAATGAGATAAGCCCTTTCCTTCCCAAGTTGCTTTTGGTCATGGTGTTTTTCCACAGTTATAGTGACCCTGACTAAGACAGTTTCTGTTGGTTGTCTAGAGCCAGATAGTAAATCAGGTGACACCATGTTTCTTCTATGTGGCTGTGAGCAGAACACCTGGATAATCAAGGAAACTTGAAGATGGCTTTAATTTAGCTCTTGACTGCAGAGGGCTCAGTCCATGTTATTTGGGACCACAAGGTTGAGCAGAATATATATATTAAGCTGAAGCAGTTTTATTGCAATCTTTCAAAATTAGCATTACAGAAAATATTTATATCCACAAAACTTGTCTTAATCTACAGTACGGCTATTTCAAAAGTAGTTAAATTTAATTAACAATTAAGAAGATAACATAATATTACGATGGCAGAAGGGAGAGGTGCAGGAATTTATTTACCTCATGGTCAACAGGGAGCTGAGTGAGGCCTTCACAGCAAGGATCTAGAGCAGGAGATAGTCCCTAAAGTCAACCTCCAGCGACCTACTTCCTCCCACCACCTTCAGGTCCCACCCTTTGCAGCTTCACCACTTCCCAGGGTTCAATCACTCATCCCTGAGTTAGACCAGAGGTTCTCAACCTTCCTAATGTTGCAACCCTTTAATAAAGACAGTTCCTCATGTTGTGGTGACCCCCAACCATAAACTGATTTTTTTAAATTTCATAACTGTAATTTTGCTATTGTTATGAATCACACTATGAGTATCTGTGTTTTCTGGTGGTCTTAGGTGACCCCTGTGAAGGGTCTTTTGATCCCCAGGTTGAGAACCACTGGACTAAACCATTCATGAGATCAGAGCCCTCTAGTCTTTGGAGACCAGAGGTGTGCTTTACTAACCTGGTTCTGCCTTAGGCTAAGAAGTGACAAGATTTTGCTTGTCATGTCTCATCTGCTCAGGGATTTTCCTTAGCATTCCCAGGGCTGAGGCAGGTGGAGACATTAGCCTTAGGGCTGTCAGGAGTAGTGTTTGTGGTACCCCGAGGAAAAGAGTTTTCATACAGCTTTTATAAATTAGTTTCTGACTGACACGGGCTTATTAAGTACCAAGGTGGTAGTGTCTAAACCCAAGCCCCCGTCTGCAGGGATCAACTTGAAGTGGAAACAGTTTTGATGGCCTGTGTCTAAATTGGCCCTGTGTCTCTGCAGCCTGGCAGCTTTGAAGAAAGACATCTCAGGTAGGGAAGAGAGAAGGGAGGGAGGGGAGGGGAAAGAAGAGAATTCTAAGACTGAACATCTGTTTGGGGGGATTATATGGACATGAAGCTTGGCTTTCAGATCAGTTGCGTGTTGTGTGCATCATTGTGTGGTTATTGATGGCTGGTATTTATCCTGTGCCTTTTCCGGCAAGTGGTGAATTTTCTAAAGTTGTGTTCCCTTGCTCTTCCTCTGTCCTTAGAGGCTCTAGATTGTTTACAGCTTTGTTTGCAACAAGGCATGTATACAAACACACATACATACACACATACATACACACATACACACACACATGCTCCCTCTGGTCAAAGATGCTCCTACCAGATCATGAGGAAACTCTGAGCCATGTGAGCACAGCATGGAATAAACTGGGAAACCAAGGTACTTTACCATCATCTGATTGGTGCTGCAGGGAACAAAGACCAGCTGGCAAAAACAGGTTTTCTGGGCAAAATAACGTTTTAAAGTGATCAAATTGTTGGGAGTTACCAGGAAGATAAGTTCATAGAAAGTGGCTTTAAGAAGAAACTCAAGTATCTTGGTTCCCTACTTAAATCAGAAAAGTGAGGAGGGGAGGGGAGCCGACTGCAGTTAAGGGAAATAGATCTGGGTTAACTAGAAACAGTGTTAGTATGATAATGCCAGAGACCCTGAACCTCCCTAGTAGACAGTGATCCTAGGGCTCCACCATGTCCCAGAGCAGTTCTTTATGTCCTACAGGGGCTGTGTTCTGTTCCAGGTACTGCAAGCATGCACCATGCAGATGGAGGGGCCAGTTCAGCTCAGCTTTAAGAGGTTCAGACACACAGGACTTGCTCCAAAGCGCAGTTAGGCTCCTTTCACACAGGCTTCGAAGGGGCAGCAAAAGTAGGTGTGAAGAGATCCCAGACACCTGGCTGACCTTCCTGGGTGGCCTGTGGAACCGTGGTGCCATCTGATGGCCATGGAAGGGAATGAACAGGAAACAAGAGCAGGACCGATGTGGATGGACCATGGAGGTGGTGCTCAGTTTTAAAAGTGTTTGGCTAGACAGGTTTAAGACCTGAGTCGCAAAGTTCTGAACAAGAAAACTACTCTAAAAGAAGTGTGTTGGACAGAGGTGAGGTCCTTCAGGAAGTCTTTGGAAGGTCTAACCATAAAGGCTCAGTTAGATATGGCTGGGGGCTAGGTTTGTGGATCACCATGGTAACTAGAGGCCTGCAGTGGATGTCATGATAACTAGAGGCCTCTATGCTCCTTTCTTCTATCATTTGTATCCTTTGTTGACATGTAAAACAGAGTGCAGACCAAAGGCATGTGGCCTCATTGAACAAAGGTGTCCTGTACTCAGACAGAGTTCTAGAGGGCTATCCATGCTGTCCTTGTCCTGATGTCACACTGATACACTGAAGACCACACGGAAGGACTTCAGCTGCCCTTTCCAGCCTGCTTGAGAACAGGAGTGTCCTTGTTGGGAATACTGGGGTTTCATAGGCTAATACTTTTGTGGTACTTGTTTTTTTTTTTTTTCTTGTTTTTTTTTTTTTTTCATTTCTTTCTATTTCTCTTTCCTTTCTTCTCTTTCCTTTATCTCCCTCCCTTTCTTCATTTATCTCCTTCCTTCCCTTCCTCTATTTTTCTTTTGGTTTCTTGAGATAGTGTCTCATGTAGCCGGAACGATTTCAACTTTGTGATCCTCTGTCCTCTTAACCAGCTATTACTGAAATTACACATATGGGCTGGGCAGTGGTGGTACAAGCCTTTAATCACTGCACTTGGGAGGCTGAGGTAGGCGAATCCCCTGGTTCAAGGCCAGCCAAGTCTATAGAGTGAGTTCTAGAACAGTTAGGTCTATACAGAGAAACTCCACTTCAACAAAACAGACAAAGCAAAAGAAAATTACACATAAGGTTCACCGCACCCAGCAATACTTGATTCCTGTTGCTAGGACTCCAGTGTGCATGTGATCTTGTGAAAAACGCCTGAATGTCTAATGTTTGCTGCACACTTTGGCTATGAAGGCTACAGGAGGAGAGACCTGAAGTACAACACCTGTATCAAACATAAAGGGGATGTCAGGAGGGACAGAACTAACAAGCTCTGGCTTTCTAAAATAATCTCTCAGCTATTGATTCAAAGAGGGACAGTGGCAGGGGGAAGAGAGGGGGAGGAGGGGTGTGTTTATGAGGAGGGCGAGTCCCCCCAGTATGCAAGGCTCAAGAAGCCCCTTCACAAGGTCCCTCCAATCTCAGTCTCAACACACATTGGAAGGCAGATTTAGTGAGGCTGGTTCTGCCCTCGGGATCACTCTCTTCTCTTTGACCATCTGGCACCACCCTAGTTCTTGCTGTGTGTTTGGAACCTGTCTTTAGGGGGATTCTAATGGGTCATTTCCAAGGCCTATCTCTTTTGAGACAGTATGGCTGGGATCAAGTTGAAACCATCTGCTCCTGAAACTCATGATTTATGGCCATCAGAGCCTTGATGGGCCCAGGGCAAGCATGTAGAAGAGGTCTTTCCATTGGCACAAGTCTCCCTTTGAGAGGAGACATGTCTTGGTCCTTGAGCTGCAGACAACGGGGCCTGTGGGGGGGTTGTTTCCTGTCCCTAATATAAGTTTTAAACTTCTGTGGTGTGGGACAATTGTCTGTATTCTGTCAATTATATTTTAAATAAACACTGATTGGTCAGTAGCTAGGCAGGAAATATAGGCAGGACAACCAGACAGGAAGTAGAAGCAGGTCAATGAGAACAGGAGAATTCTGGGAAGAAGGAAGTCCTAGTCTGCAGCAGTTCTGACCTTGCCACAGCAGAAGCAAGATGTGATTGCCTCGCTGAATAAGGTACCGAGCCATGTGGCTAACATAGACAAAAATAATGGGCAAATATAAGGTGTAAGCATTAATAAAAAGCCTGAGATAAAATAAAAGGCCAATCAGTTTATAACTAATGTGGACCTCTGTGTGATTTCTTTGGGACTTGACTGTGGAAATCGGGCAAGACAGAAAACACAGACAATATCTCTGGTTGTCTTATTTTTAAATGTCAAAATAAACAAAACATCTGTATTTAATCAACAAGCAGTGATAGTTTGGGTTCTCAGTCCCTTCTTTTGGTCCCCACGTGAGGACTGCAAAATGGGGGTGAGGGGCACACAGTAAGCCAGCAAAGGTGAGGAGAAACCTCGTTCCCTGTGGACTTGTGATGCCTCAGCAGCCTGGAAAAGCCTTCGTGTAGGGTTATCTATGCAGTACACATGGCGTGTCTTCTAGAACCCCATGTGGCTTCCATGGGAGGGGTGTTGAGCTGCCCTCTTCCCACAAGCTCTTGGCGTGCAAAACTCTTGCTTAAAGTTCCCATAAGTCAGTGAAGCGTCTTTCACAAACCACACTTGAATCCAGAATCTAAAAAGTATTCTGGCACTTTCTTTGAGTTTATAAAATATTTCAGATTTTTTTTCTTCCAAGTAAAAGAGTTTTTTTTTCTTTCTCTTGGATGTTTGTTCCTTTGCTAAACTCCTCCAGTGCCAGGCACCCCCAAGGCATCAAGGACCAGACTCTGCTGGAATGTCCAAGAGCTGGGTTGCTCAGAACTTCACACTGCAAGTGACAGGCAGTGTGAACGTCTTAGGCTCTCTCTGTGGGCATCTGGAAAGGGTGATAAAGGAGATTGGGTGCTGGTGAATAGTTGGCTCCTTTCTGCTCTGAGTGTATATGCCAAATATAATTTCAAAGCCTCTGGATCTCAGCAGAGCCTTTGCCAGCTGCCACTTGCCATCTTACGATTGGCTATATGGCCAGGTGGAGAAAGTGGGGGGGGGGGGAAACCAGCTAGATCTGGCAACTAAGTCAAGTACTCAGTGGGTCAGGAGACTCTGGGGGGATTACACATCTCAGCAGTAGGAGCACCGTCTTCTTGCCCCTGCTCTTAGGTATTTTGGAGAGGAGATAATTTTATTCCTTAGTCTCAATATGGTAAAGCAAGTATTGACATTTAAAGTCATTTTTCAAGATTAGAATTAGAGGTATGGAGAGCTGAGCTTGGTGGTACTGTACTTAAAGCAGTTGGAGACTGAAGCTGTCACACAGCGAGTTCAAGGCCATCCTGGAGATGCGTCTCAAGAAACAATATACCAAACCAAGAGTATAATTATAGTTATCGAGAAGATGTAACCCATTTTCTTCATTATATTTTTCTTCTCCTTTTATTTCCTGTATTTATATTGGTTTTCAGTCTGTTCTAAACAAAATCAACAGCCTTAGCATGCTGGACAGCACCCTGTGTCTGGGGGCCCTGCCTTCCTCAAAGCCTGACCTGTAGTTCCTGGTGCTGACCACAGTGGGCCTCCTTGGATCTAACTACAACATGGTACCACTTTCCTATGGCTTTGTCGTTTTTCCTGCTAGAGTATTCTCTGCTGCTGCCCAGGCCTCTGATTAACACTATTTCATTTTCTGTCTGAAAACCAATTCCAAAGGCTGTCTAACTGCATGGTTAGGGTGACAGGCTGGATAGCAAAATTCATGCACTGGTGGCTTGTATTAGCTGTTTGTCGTGTTGCTGGGATAAAATGCCTACAGAACAAACTTGGAAAGTTTTATCTCAGGCTTACAGTTCCAGAGGATGCAGCCATCTTGGCAGGGAAGGCATGGAGGAGAACAGGAGGAGAATGTCACATTACATCATCTCCAGTTGGGGAGCAGGGAGCAACAAATCCTTGTGCTTGGCTCACATTTTTCCTTCCTTCCTTCCTTCCTTCCTTCCTTCCTTCCTTCCTTCCTTCCTTCCTTCCTTTCTTCCTTCCTTCCTTCTTTCCTTCTGTTTTTCTGCAGCCTGGAACTCCCCAGTTCACAGAATCACGCTGCTTACATTTAGGGTAGATCTCCCCATCTCAGTTAACCTAACGTGTGATCTCACAGACATGCCCTAAGACTTGTTTCCATGGAGATTCTAAATTCCATCAGGCTGGCAA